AATTAAATAATTAAAGCTGAAAATAAAGGTCATACTGAGCAACCTCAAACCAATCTTAGAAGTTTAATATGTTAACTGTTCTTTTATGAACAGAATGAACTTAAAATAACCAATTTAAGTAAAGCAGAGATCACAAACTCTACTGCCTTCAGAGTCTAAACAGGTAATGCAAGTCTCAAACACCAGGAAGAGGTGGAGTGGCAGAAACTGGAGGTCACATGTTTCATCTAGAGGCATAAACATTTTTTTTTTTTTGAAACACTGAACCTGCCAAACAACAAAGTTATGTGGGACAAATTTTGACCAATGGCTGCTTCCATGTAACCTGTGAATACATTGTCATTTTCAGGAGTTAGTGCATCCCAAGGTACCCATACATTGGGGCTCATGGCACTTTAGACACAGATACCCCTTGTTAAAGTAAAGTCAGCTGGCTGAGTAGGTGGTAGGTGGTAGGTGGGTAGACACTGAAGTATCTTCTCTCCTTCTCTGAGCCTGAGATCTAAAATTCCAACAGTTAGAACTAGTATTCATTGGAAGAAGAGATCTGTTTTGTCTCCATGAAGGTATAACCAGAACACTTCAAGTATATGCTCTAGCTAGCAGGCAATGTGACCAAAAGTAATGCAGACATCGACTACTTTTTTGATTTTTAGACAACTAAAATCACTTATTTACTTTGACTAAAATACTGGATGCATGGATGCACACACTTATCAAAAATAATTTTATATACTTTATTTCTGTACATTTCAAGGTATATAAAGTATACCTTAAATTTAAAAAGCCCTCATTTAATTAAGACCAGAAAACCTCGGGGAAGAAGGGCAAAATAAAGAAAACGAAAGGATTCTACTTTGTGAAACATGAAGAAACCTCATCAACTCTTTAATTTCTGAATATAAAAGAACGTATTTTTAATAAGCATTTTGAAAAAGGACAAGCTATTTTGAAATCTATGTATATTAACTCTTTCGAGATATGTAAGTGCCTAGGTTTGCTCAAGGAGTTCTGCTGGGTGTGGGAGATGCAGTGTGGTGACAGATCTCATAAAGTTCAGTCTAAGAAAACAAGGCACTAAACGGTGGTTAATGAACGTGATAAATGCTGCAAAGGAACAGTACCAGGTACGATCAGAACAGCTGTGGCCAGCAGGCAGTACGTGTAGCATGGGTCAGGGAAAGCTTACCAGAAATTAAGCTAAGTTCTAGAGGGTAAGTAGGAATAAATCACATAAAGAAAGGAAACATTCTAGAAACATTTTCAGACAGGAGACATGTTCGAAGATTTGAAGATGAGAAGGATCTCTGCAGGGAAGTAACATCATGTGCTTTAAAATAGTAACTCTAGGAGCAACATGGAAAAGAGAGAGGAGCACAATGTTTTAAGACTAGTTATTATATGAAGAGAAAGGAAAGAAATGAAGGTGATCTGGTCTTAGGTAGTAGACATAAAAACAGAAATTGCCAATTATCGAAATATACGATATGGAAAGAGGGAGAAGAAACTGACAAAAATAAGTCCCATAAACAAATGAAATGAATTGACACAGATTATGAGCTCACTTGGAAATGCCAAGTTTGAAATACCTCTCAGACAATGCAGGGAGCTGTCAACTAGACAAATGAATGTATGAGTCTGAATCTCAGAGAATGAGACTGCAGACATAATTTGGGAATCAACTACACAGAGGCACTAAATGAAACCATGGTAGTAAATGAGGTAGGTATACCAGGAGAAGGAAAACTAGGTCAAAGCCCCAAGAATGCCTCTAGTTAAATGGCAGAGGGGGGGTGGCTAAGAAGAGAAAGTCAGAAAGGGAGGAGGCACAGTAAGGGAGTGCTGTGTCACAGAAATTAAGGACCCAACATGTGAGAAGAAATGACTGCCCAACTGTGCAAATACTGCTGGACAAAAATAAAAAAGCAGGAGAATTAGCAGTGATCTTTGCCTTCAGATGTGCAAATATGGTGATCCTGATAAGGGTAAGACTGAACAGAATACTTGAGACAGAATCTTAACTGGAACATACCCAAACTGAATGAAAGATGAGAAAAGGGAGATAACAAGTGTCAACATTTCTTATGAGATGTTTAGTAACTCGAGGACCCAAAACAAAATTCAGTAGAATTTCATTTTGAGGATGTGAGTGGCCCAAACATACTAAAACTGATGAGTAAGACCCAGTGTAAAGGCAGAACCTGAAAATACTTTTGGTTTTTGACAAGGTAAAAAGGGATGTAATCCTTACAAGGGGTAGAGTATTGGCTTTTGCCAGAGAGACACTACCCTCCATTAAAACAGGATGGAAAAAGAAAAACACAAAAGGGGAGAAAATACAGGTAAAATTGTAGATTCAGTGGCAAGACACTAACATAGTTTCCACCTGATGCTCTCTCTTTTCCCTGAGAGGCAGAAGGCAAGATGAGTTATTAAAAGCAAGGGGACCAACAGGACAGCTGGAAGTTTGAAGAGAAACAATAATTTCAAAGTGGTGGAATGAGCTGGCTAGAGAAAGAGTGAGGCTACTGGGTAGTGTAGGGGGCTGACTGGAGGTCTGTGACAAAGGACAAATGGTGGCACTGACCTACCCTATGTGGGGCTTCTCCAACAGAGGCCCAGGAAAGGTTTAAGTTGCTGGGTTTATCTAGGGTTGTAGCGCTACCAGATAGGTTGATGAAAGGTTGAGGGGACAAGAAATAATAATATTAGTTAAATTTTACTGGGCACATTTTAGTCTGGGGCTCTGAAAATACTTTATATAAATGGATCCTTTAAGCCTCATGGCTACTCTATCTCGTTGGTACCATATTTCATTTTATGAACGAGGAAGCTGAGGAATGAACTTGACTATGGCCACATTAGCTGCTAACATTTCATGAGAATAGATAGATAGATAGATAGACAGATAACTGAAATAAAACAAATAAAAAAAAATAACAAGCCCTGGCTGGTGTGGTCAGTGGGCTGAGTGCCAGCCTGCAAACTAAAAGGTTGCTGGTTAGAGTCCTGGGTTGCAGGCGAGGTCCCCAGTTGCAAGTGGCAGTCAATTGATGTCTCTCTCCTTTCTCTCTCCCTTCCCCCTCTCTAAAAATAAATAAATAAAATCTTTTAAAAAAGTAACATGATAAAAGATTGAGTGTGTATGTAATTTTAAAATACTTGTGTTAGTAGAGCAACGGACCATGAAATTATAGGTGGACTTCTACCTTAGTGTTAAAATATAAAGACTCACCAAATCCAGCAGAAGTTAAAGAGAACAGTAATAAGCTAACTCATTTCACAGTTACATCCCAAACATCATATGTTTTTATATACTACTATCTCATTTCCTCCAAATGTCAGCACAACATGAATCTATATTCTGAAAAGGAAAATGAGGCTCAGAAACACTAAACAATTTATTGCACCTTTTACCAAACCCTTGAGAAATGAAGTACCCTCTTCCTGACCTCCTTGCCACTAGGCCCTACAAAACCAGGGTGATATAGGCCTGACTGAATTTACCAGCAGAACATGTTTTCTCTCACTGAACATTCGTTCCACACATTACTTTATTCTAGTAAGTAAAAGAAACTAGGAAAACTCTTACTACTTCATTACAACTAAAGAAAATAAAATAAAAATTTGAAAAGCAAAAAGTAAAAGCTTAAAAGAAAATCATTATTTCCATTTCCCAAATATGAGCACTGATATAATAAGATGTTATAGCTTGGTCATTTTGTAGTGACAGAATAATTAAGCAGTTTGATGGGTTTACTTTCATTCTATAATCATACTGAAGTTTAAAAAAACCTGATAGTTTATCACCTTTAAAGTAATGAAACACCTTAGCTCAAGTCAATGTTTTCCAAATTGTTGTACTGAACAAGATATTTGTCTTAACTGAAAGAAATAACAGTAATAATACGTGAAAAAATGAAACGTACAAAGGGGACCCTCCCCCAAACCGGAATTATCTTCTGGAGGGTGGGTCCCTTGTAGTACAGGCTTCTCCCGATCTATATAGGTGAGTGTTCTAGGAACCCAACTCTATCAGTGTACCGGCTGGCATTGTTGTGACAGGCTGTGTTCAGCTTCAGCAATTTTGTTTAGAAGACTCTTTCAATGTGTTTGCCCATTTCATGATGGGTGATTTACGAGCACACCTGCCCACACTACAAGGGGTGTTCGGCAGTTTTTGACCAAAAACAGCATGACCCCTATCCACCCCATCCTCCTTATTCACCGGATCTTGCCCTGAGAAACTTTCTTTATTTCCCTGGATGAAAAAAGTCCTCAAAGGGAAATGTTTTACCAATGCAGAAGAGGTGAAACAAGAAAAGGCAGATGCACTAAAAGGCACACAAATCGGCAAGTTCAAAAACTGTTTTAAGCAGTGGAAAAACTGTCTTCATAGGTGTATCACATCAAATGGAGAGTACTACGACGGTGACTGAAGTTTAAACATGTAAGAATAAATACACAATTTTTTATAAGTAAATTCTGGGATTGTTTTGGTCACCCCTCATATATCTGAAGGATATGTAATACTCCAAGGATTTACTATTAGAATAAATAGATGGCAGCTAATAGAGTACAGTTATTACAAAAGTATTTGAATTAATGACATCCCCTTTCACTGAAGATAGGAGGACATTAGGTTTTAAAAATGTGTAATAAAATATTTGCCTTTCATCTATCATGTTGTCATTTAACCACCCTTACACTCAAGCGATATTAATAAAGGTTTTCAATATTTCCCATTTTGAAGCAAAAATGCTAGATATTGAAGAAAAAAAATAACATCTTATCCTCCAAGTCTTTCATTCCAATCATTAAGTACATGAAACACTAAATCTTTTACTCATAAGCTAAGGTGGCCCTTGCAAGTGAAATATAGTTTATTAAAAAAAAAAAAAGCACCTTCCACACTGACATACTATTCAACTAAATGTAACAAGAAAACATTTTGAAATATCTGACTTCTTAAAGGAAAAACAAGAAAAAACTCTACTTACCATATACATTAGTATGTCTCTGATCATCACCATAGCTGTTTGATGATCATTCCAAGCTTGATTTAGCGTTTGAAGAAAGTTGTTATTCAATGAATTAAGTACATCCTCTCGCACCTATTAACAGAAGAGTTCATTACAGTTTGTTTACACATACACACACGTGCACACACTCATATGTATACATGCACTTATCTGTTTGATAAAATAAAGTGGAATCTTCAATTTTAAATTAAAGAAACGTTACAGACCAATAGAAATATTTTAAGCTATAATATAACCTATGTACGGATGACTAACAAATGTGTTTTGTATAGTCCAGGCCCTTCCCTTGACTTCCGAAATCATAAAGCAACCTCCTGGGCATTTCTTAATATCACAGTCGGAATAGAATCCTAAACACTTGTAAGGAAATACAAGCCTCTATAGAACTGGTCCCAGGTCATCGCTCCAACTCCACCTTCCCTCTCCTGTCTTTGAAGAATGGTGAGACCACTGATTCTGGAGTCAAATTACCTGGGCTCAAATCCCAGCTCCCTGACTAGGTGTGTGACTTTGGGTAAATTATTTAATCCCTATGCTTTAGTTTCCTTACATGTGAAATAGTGTCCATCGTGTAGGATTGTTCTAAGGATTGCATTAACACTCCTAACACACTTAGAACAGTGCCTGGCACTCATTAAACACTCAGGGAACATTAACTATTAATTTAGTACACTCTAGCTACAATGGAGCTGCATACAGCAAATGTGCTCTGACATTTCTTCTGCCTTGATTCACAGCTCACTCCCTCATTTCTTTCTACTCAAGTTTCACCTCCACAAACAGGTTTCCCCTGACCACCTATTTCAAACAACAACCTCTATCTTTACTCCTTTACCCTACCGTTCATTTTTCTGCACAGTACTCATCACTACCCACTATATTACTAGTTTATTGCTTTTCCCACCAAAACATACAGCAGCAGGGATTCTATCTTTTCCATGTGAATCTCCTGCACCTACAACAGTGCCTGGCATTTGTATGTTAAGAACCTTTAGCTCACCCCACCCTCTAATCCCTGGTCCACTTCCAACACGGTAAGCTCTCTCAGGACATCTGTCTTTGCACATTAAGTTCCCCGAGTCTGAAATGCCTTTCTAATGCAATCCTGATACAACTACGTAGATTCAAGAATTTCTTTACAAAGTCCACAAACATACTTCCACTTTCTTCAATAGGAGGTTACTGACCACTTCTTCCTGCTATGCTATTAGTCCAATAGAAAGTATTTAAGTAGAAAACAGAATCTAGACTCTGGTTCTAGCATTAAATGAAGAAGTATTGCGTTTGTCCTCTAAGTTCCCATGACTCTTTGGGACTACACTGCCAACCTCTCCCTGTTATTTAAATCCAACTAATCTTCCATGGTAAGGTATAGCTCAATTCTCAGTTAACTCCAGCCTCACCACACATCTGTATCTCCAAATATCCTTTACCACAGATAATCTGCAATAGTAAATTTCTTCCAGGTTGGGGAGAATCTGAAGTCATGATGTTTTTTTTAAAAAACAAATTAATACATGAGTTGAAATATATAAATATCTATAAATCCGAATTCTAAACACATGCAATAAAATGTCATTGTATATTATAACTAGTGTAAACAAGTGGTTGGAAGTGCCAAACACTGAAAGAAAATACACATAACACACTATTCCCAACACATGACAGAATAAGTTCAAATTGAGAAAACTGTATCTAATTTATTTTTTCTTACATATTAGAGGAAATGAGGTCTTCAAAAGATATTAGAGAGGGGACAATACATCTATTCTACAACCACTAGCCTATACTTAATCTTTTGTTCACAACTGTATTTTGAAGCATCTGAACTTCAAAACATATCACCCAGAAATTCTCCCATAAAAATGTTGACTATATCAAAAGTGATAAACATCCATGTTGGTTAGTTTATAGTACTGTGTTTAACAAATACTATTATGCAAAGTAGAAAAAATATCATTTATTTAAACCCATAAGTCTACCATTTGTCAGATACAAATTCCCAAGATAGCTATGAACACAAGTTGAAAATGTAGCTATTTACAAAATTCTTCACCAAACTTCATATTCTTTCACTGAAGCACTAAATTTTGAGTGTTAATTAAATTAAAATCATGACAATACTAGAGATACTCTACTACGTAACAAAAATGATATATTCCAAACACCAGAATTTTTTGCAATTAATTAGTTTTAAGGACTTAAGTAAACCTCTGTATACTCCTTTGCTGTAAAAATTAAGTTATGTGTTAACTATACTAAAGTCACTCTGATTTTGGAAAACAAAAATGTGCTTGGTGTATTTATTTGAATGAATGAAAACATGATAAAATATAGTATGTTTTTCAAAATAATACTCTTTAAAGTAAAATATATCAACAAGTGTTTATGTAATATTTATACCTGACTTTCAACAAAATAATGTGATCAACTAGCACAAGCTGCCATAAAGCTTCATTTGCATCACACTTCAAACAATTATCCTTACAAATCAATAACAGAGAATATTAAGCAAAAAATAGCTACTGAGTTAATTTTATTTAATTTTGAGTGACTACACATACACACACATCTAAGATGTACAATAATGCCTTAGATACCCTTGCTGTAACCACCTGTTGATTCTTCAAATCAGTCTATGAGCAAAAAATTATTTCTTTAATACCATCCCAGGAAAATATCTTTCTACTCTGATACATGAAAAGTAAATGGATATTTATTCAAATATATACAATAAATGGTAGGAATCAGATGAAAATTGAACTTTTATGAGAATTAAACAGGCTTAAAAAGAAAAATTGGCATATAAATGAAAAATATACATTAAGTGAAAAAAATTGATCTGATTTTATAAATTATTAACGTAACAATACAGAAATTTTGAAAAAGAGAAAGAGGGGACAGTGTGGGGGACGGCAACATTGTTAGTCTCACACTCTAAGACAACCAAACCATCTGTTTTTGTACCATCAAAGGCAAGTGGGAAGGAACCCTGCTGTAGAGGTGATACCAGAATCAAAAGGGGCCTGACGCAGGGAAGTACAAGGTATCCATTCGAAGAGCTGGAATTTGAAGGGTGAGACAAACAAGAACAAGTAAAGCCATGGAAGTTGAGAGTAGAACGGAGTCTGCTATGACAGAGACTAAAATGAGTAGTTGAAAACTGAGGGCTGTGCATGGCACTGAGCCTTGCAAAGGATAAAGCAATATACAGACAACAGTTCAAAAACAGATGACGAGCCTGGTGAATAACTAGAATCATATGCAGAGCAACAGATTTTGATCAAGGGAACAAGAAGACAAGACAGACTGGGAGAAAATACTTGCACAAGATGTATCTAATAAAGGACTGTTCCATCTTGTTTCCTAGCCACGGTAAAATCAGTTTCGTATATGTCATCACACTTGAAGGCACAGAACCTAACAATGTTAAGTGAGGACTTAACTGTATACAAAGAATTCATAAAACTCAGCAATAAGAAAACAAATAACCAAATTAAAAAAACTGACAAAACACCTGGACACCTCACCAAAAAATTCAGATGCTAAATAAGCACAGAAAAAGATATTCAATCTGATCACCAAAAAATGCAAATTAAAAATATAATGGGATACCACTACACATGAATTAGAATGGGCAAAACCTCAAACACAACACCAAATGCTGGTAAGGATGTAGATTAACAAGCATTCTCATTCATTGCTGTTGGAAATGCAAAATGGCACCAGCCACTTTGGAAGACAGTTCAGCAGTTTCTTACACAACTAGATATATTCTTACCATAATGATCCTGCAATTATGTTCCTTGGTATAAAAACCAAAGGAATTGATAACTCATGTCCACACAAAATCCCCCACACAGATGTTTATAGCAGCTTTGTTCATAATTGCCAAAACTTGGAAGCAACCAAGATGTTCTTTAGTCAATGAATAGATACATCCGGACAACAGAATACAGCCATGAAAAGACATGGAGGAACCTTAAGTGCATAATACCAAGTGAAAGAAGACAATCTGAAAAGGCTACATATCATATGACTCCAAGTGCTATATGACATTCTAGAAAAGGTAAAACTAAGGAGGCTGTAAAACCACAGATTGCCAGGGGTCAGGGTGGAAGGAGCTATGGAAAGGCAGTGAAACTATCCTCTTTGGTACTGTAACAAAGGATACATTCCCTAATTTATGTGTTAAAACCCACAGAATGCACACCAATAGAGAGAGCCCTACTGTAAACTACAGACTGGGTGGTGACAGAGATACATCAGTGTAGGTTCACCCTTTGTAACGCATGTGCCACTCCAGTGCGAGATGCAGGAAGCAGGGGAGGCTGTGTGCGTGTGTGTGGAGGCAGAAGGCATATGAAACATCCCTGTACCTTCTGCTCAGTTTTGATGTGAACCTAAAACTGCTCTAAAAATAAAGTCTATTAAAAAAAAATGGGGCCTAACCAAGATCCAAAGAAAATGAATCTGTTTTGTTTTTCTGCATAAAAAGAAAAAACAAATATATCCACGGGCATAAAAGAACCACACTAGCCATTCATGTACCTTCCCTTTGTAGAATTTGTTCAACACAAATCTTTTTAAGTAGTCAGAGTAATTATTATTGATATAATTCTGAGTCCTGACTTTTTTTAAACCACTGATTAACATTCAACATTAACCTCTGCTTTAGGAGAAAAACATCTAGTTATATGTAGCATATCATTTCCAAAGCATTGTAGTAATTCAAAGAAAAAGGTTTATTAGAATAAAACAAAAGAAAAAAATGTCATCTGAGATTTTAAGCGACTTCTTACATAATACTAAAAGCATGATGTATATAGGAAAAAAAATAAATTGTGCTCCATCAAAACACTTGTTCTGCTCTGGCTGGTGTGGCTCAGTGGCCTGAGCACTGGCCTGCAAACCAAAAGGTCGCCAGTTGGATTCCCAGTCAGGGCACATGCCTAGGTTGCAGGCCAGGTCCCCCAAAAAGGGCACACGAGAGGCAACTGTACATTGATGTTTCTCTCGTGCTCTCTCCCCCCTCCCTTCTCCTCTCTAAAATAAATAAATAAAATCTTAAA